CTGGGTCCCCCCCTGGTTCCTCGGTGCCGGTCCTCAGTCCCGCCTCCGGCTCCGTGTCGGCCGCCTACGGGCCCCCCTGTTTCGGCTTGGCATCGGACGGCGCCTTCCCCTGCTCCGGCTATGCCTTCGCCTGCCGCGGCTTCCCCCTCCTGCCTACCTGCACCGGTGTTCCCTCCTGCTACCTCCGTGTCTCCTCTGTCACTCCCTCAACCCGTTCCCTTGGCCCCTGTGTGGTCCCCTCCTGCTCCCTCCTCCCTCTCGCCTGCGGCCCCTCCGGCCGCTGCCCGTTGCCCGTCTGGGTTCCTTCGGGCTCCCCTTGTTCCTCCTCCCTTTCCCTTTGTCCCGCCTGTTTTTGCTCCTCATCCCTCTGTTCCTCCTCCGTTCACTCCTGGCCCTTTCGTGTCACCTGTGGGTGTTCCCTCTGTGTCCCCTTTTCCGTCTGCCTGTCTGCGTTCCCCGTCCTTTGTCAGGTCTTGTCTTTCTTCTGGTCCCTATTCCTGTTCAGTGTTTCTGTCTTGTTCCCAGTTACCCGTTGAGGTCTTGCTTTTGTTTTTCAGCTCCTGCCCCTCGTCTCGTCCGGTGTGCGCGCCTTTGGGTGGGGGTTCTGTTACACCCAGCTCCGTCCGATCCTAATGTGTGCCACACCCACCTCGTTACCTCCTGTTTCTACCTGATTGTTCTCACCTGTTGCTCGTTACCCTTAGCTTGTCAGTCAGTCTTCCCCAGACTTGTCATTGACGTTCGTACATGTGCTTCCCCCGGTCCTGTCCTCCGGTTAAAACCGCGTTTATTCGACTTCCTGGCTCCTTTTCCCTGCTTTCCCGTTCGCCTGCAAGCCGTGACGTGACAGTCAGGATGTTAATTTAAATTTTCTATATGTATCTATGTCTGAGTAGTTTGTAATCACTAAAGATTCACACATTTTGATTTTATATGAGGGCAGTTTCTGGTGTCTGTGTAACTGAGATCCAGGCATCATCGACACCTACTAACATATTAAAGCCTCGTGTTCATGATCTTATAACCCTTAGTACCCGACAAATGCAAAATGCATTGACCTTCGCACCAATTCATCTCAGGCTCATAACTTTGGATGGGTATAATACACAGACATGATTCGAATATCTTCGAGAGAACTTACCCTTTCCGGTTGTCCAAATTGCAGTGCTGTGCGCTAAAATATTCCAGAAGAATCTTGTGTGAAATGAGGCATATTCATTAAAAATTTTCTACCAAAACGCACCCCAGAAAACAAAGTGCATATTCACTGCCACAATGATCCATGCACTACCAACTATCATCACAACAGTTGATATAAACAAAACGAATATACAGTGGATATAAAAAGTGTACAAACCCATGTTACAATGCCAGGTTTTTGAGATATAAAAATGAGACCACAGTAAACCATTTAAAAGAATTTTTCTACCTTTAATGTGACCTATAACCTGTACAATTAAATTGAAAGACGAACAGATCTGTTAGGGGGGAATATAAAAAATTAAAAAATAACAATAAGCTGGTTGCATAAGTGTGCACACCCTTAAACTAATACTTTGTTGAAGCAACTTTTGGTTTAATTACAGCATTCAGTCTTTTTGGGTACACTCATGCCATCAATTAAAGTGACTCAGATTAACCCCAAATAAAGTTCAGCTGTCCTTGTAAGATTTTCCTGACATTTACTCAACTGCATCCTACAGAAAAAGAGTTTGCAAAGAGCCTACAAAGCATCAAAGGGATCTCATTGTTGAAAGGTGTCGGAAGATATTTGTAGTGCCTGCTCTCATATTAGATTAGAGAAATTTCAATAGGCGCAAGCAATTTTTCCTCATAAAAAATTTGATATCAGAATTTAAACATCAAATTATGTTGTAATCTGAGTAGATTTGATTAGATTGACTTTATTAATCCTACAATGGGGAAATTCCTTAGAAAAAGCAGCAATAATAAAAAAGAGACAGTATAACAGGATCCATAGGATCAGGAAAAATAACAATATAGGAACAATATAGACAATAAAAACAATAGAAAACAATTTCTAAAACTGTATAAATATATAAGTAAAAATATAAAGAAAAAAACATATACAGAATGCTAGGTATATGGATGAACAGCTGCTGAATATATATATGTATACATATATACATACATATATACATACATACATACACACATATACATATATATATATATATATACACATGTATATACATATACAGGGATTATATATACCGATTATGTGGTCACTGCAGTGATGTGTTGTAAAGTCTAATAGCTGTGGGGAGGAATGATCGACGGAAGCGCTCCTTCTTGCACTGTGGGTGTAACAGTCTTGTGCTGAAGGAGCTGCTCAGAGCCTCCACAGTGTGGTGCAGGGGGTGGGAGGGGTCATCCATAATGGATGACAGTTTTACTATCATCCTTCTGTCCGCCACCTCCTCGATGGTGTCCAGTGTGCAGCACAGGACAGAGCCAGCTTCCTTAACAAGCTTGTTAAGTCTTTTTCTATCTGTCTGAGCTGCTCCCTGCCCAGCACACAACAGCGTAGAGAACTGAGGCCACTACTGTGTCGTAAAAAGTCCGTACATCTGAGAACTTCTGCAGGTGACAGTGATGGGAGCTGTACTTAAAATCAGCTGTATACAGGGTGAACAAAAATGGGGAGAGTACCGTCCCTTGAGGTGCCCCCGTGTTGCAGACTACCACCTCAGACACACAGTCACGCAACCTGACGAATTGTGGCCTGTCAGTGAGGTAGTCGAAAATCCAAGCAGCCAGATGTTGGTCCACACCTGCCGTCTCCAACTTCCCTCTCAACAGTGATGGTTGAATAGTGTTAAAAGCACTTGAGAAATCAAAAAACATGACCCTCACGGTGCTCCCAGGGGCCTCCAGATGAGACAGGGCCCGATGCCGCAGGTAGATAATGGCATCATCCACTCCGATGCCAGAATGTCCTGAAAATAAAAAACATAAAGTTTATGTCGCTAACTCGTATACATACAATGTAATAAGTCAAAAAT